TCTGAATAGTCTCTTCTGTGGAAAAGCTAATCTATGTTAAGTCAGACAACGAGAGGCAGACCTCCATAAGTAAGTCTATGACAAAATTAAATGAAAATGCAGAGAGTGGACATCTTTGATGAGCAGCTCCCCTGATGCCTCACCTTCAAAAGGGTGATGCACTCTTTTAGTGAGAGATATTGCCATAAGACCTCTCGGACGATGGCGTTAAATCCCGCCTTCAGGTCAAGAAATACGGCTAGTGTCGGGCGCCGGTAAGTGTGCCAGTGTTCCAGAGTAGACAGCCGATAGTGAATACCTGGCCGATTCATTTACGAAAAAGTTCGAAACTTGCCTGGTCTTCTCGCCTTTGCTGTTTCCGAGTACCAATTAGACGTTTGATTACAGGACCAAAAATCTTAAAAAATTTGTTTCTCAGAATTATTCCCCCTGTGGTTATCACAAGAGGACTTCTTACCTTTATTGAAGACTAGAACCTCTCAGCGGGGATCATATCTCACTCAAATACACTTGTTAACAGTTAAGTTACTTTGACCAATAATCCTCGACCGCCGTCCTTAAATACCTATGGTACTAGACTGTCTGGCTCTGCTATTCCACCCCATTTCCGAGTACTAACAGCTTTCTTGACTTTTGTAACCAATGCCGATCTTATCTTAATGTTCCATTCAGGATTCAACTGGATAGAGGGTTGTGGAATAGTAGCTAATGGTCAACTGAACTGAATCTCTGAGTGTTCAGTCTACTGCTCTGGTTGTCTCTCTTGCGAGTGAACCACAAACTATTCTTCCCCGCTATATTTAAACTAACCACTGAACTTTGCGTCCTCGATAAGCCTAAATAACAGTCTACTGTTATCTATCGCCGCCGCCTTTTCCATCTCTTTAGTCTTCGCTGCCTAATACTATTGGCAGTTATTGTGTAGAGTTTTCGTCAGCCTAAATTAGAGTTCCACTCCCCAATGAACTCGGAGCCTGCAAGGATGCTTTTGAGTACACCCACTGAATTCTGAAGAAGCTGGTGGGATCAACTGGCTCGTTCTAATCAGTATTTGAGAGTCAGCTACAGTCTTCAACGCTGTTATTGCACCAAATTTGAGATGGCTCCAGGCTTCTTGAGTTGAGTGATGTTGTTTTATTCCTATAACTATTTAGCCAGTGTTTTCGCTGAAAGCATGGTTAGGGCCGACCTTTTCTAACCCTCCTTCTTTGGGGAAGACAGCATTGGGGTGGCACCGCGGTCCACCCGCGGGAAACGCCACACAACTATCACACTAACATCATGGCGCAGCAACTTACACTATGACGGTAAATGCTTTTTGCCTAAACACTACTCAGGTAACCTTTCTGGTAAGGTAGGCTTTCAGCGGGACAAGCGTTCCAACAGCATAGCTGGTTGAGTCACTGAGGTATCTAAACTCAACCGCCATATCTATTGTTTAGGAAAACCAATAAATTTCCTCATCCGAACTGACTAATTCCAGCTGTCACTGATAAAAATGAGCAGCAAAAGTAACTTACACTTGAATTAACTAAGAGTTTTCGTAATGATCACTAACAGTAACAGGTGACAAAAACGAAAGAGACAGAGAAGGTATCAGTATTAGGTAACCTACGATAATTACCACGGTTTATTAGAAATATTAGGAAGAACATAATGACTGACGAAATCACCAACGAAAACGACGGACTGTTTAAAACCTCTCAGCAGTAGTGACCAAAATGCTGGGCAAGATACAGTTCAATTGACCAACAGTAACGCTTCAGCTACTCAGCACGCAACCAGAACCAAGTGCGAGGAAGTTGTTGTATTTCTCCACCTGAAGGCGGCATTCGACTCTCTTGATCGAGATGTCTTATGGCAATGTCTCACTGAAAGGCGCGCTAAGTAAGTACATAACCTCATTGAAGCCTCTCCACTCGAACACTTGAGGGCATGTTAGAGCCTATGGTGAGATGTCCGGGTAGATGTGCTCGTCGAGTGGTGTCCGTCAAGGATGCCCACTCTCTCCATTCTTATTCACTTTTATCATAATTATTCTCATGGAGGTCTCTCTCTCTCTCTGTCTCTCGTCACCTGACTACACAGAAGTTGAACTAATCGCAGGAGAATTTTCACTAGACCTAGAATACACAGATGACATAGTCCTGTTACGTTAAGCTGCTGACAAGATGCAGAGTCTTCTCAAAACTTCGAGTGGCAATTTGAGAATGTCTGGGATGCGTTTCTCACCACCTAAATCCAAATTGTTGCTCAAGGATTGGTCTTCAACGGTGACCCACCACGGTTAACCATAGAGAGTGTAGTGGTCGAGTGTGTTGACCACTTCACTTACCTGGGATAAAGGAGCAGCCCTGGTGGCTGGCTCAGTGGCCGGTGAAATCTCTGCATGAATACAGAAGACTTGCTTGGCTTTTGCCTACTTACGCCACCTGTAGCGTCGCCGTGATATACGATTGTCTATTTCGGGTCGCGTGTACTGCACAGCAGTTCTCTCTGTTCTACTGTATCGCTGCAAAACATGGCCATTGAAGGTGGAAGACATGAGGAGGCTTCCTCATGTCTTTGACCACCCTTGCCTTCGTAGTATACGCCGTATTACGTGATGTCACCACGTGAGTAACGTAGAAGTCACGCTCACGTGTAGAGTTCCAGGGAGAAGAGGTAAGTCAGTTGGCGAGGTTGTGAGCCTTCATCGACTGAGATGGTTGGGACACGTACTACGTATGCCTAGTCACCGATTGCCTTGTCACACAATGTTGGCCGAAGTAGGTTCAGGCTGGAAAACGTCTCGAGACGGCCAGACTGAAACATGGCATCAGTGTATGAAGTCCGTGACTTAAGCCATGTGGCTTAAGCCGTGTGGGGCGATGCAGACTAGCCGGATGGGATCCACAGGACAAGAGAAACCAGTGGCTGGTAGAAGACTGACTCTGGGTGATATGGCTCAGAACCGGTCAGTGGCGCAGATGTATACACGTACACACATTGTCCTCATCTTAACGCTATACCGAATATCACCATTTTCTCATCCTTCCTTACTCTCTTTTAGTACTCTATATTTCTCTTGACTGAATTTTCTTTCCTTCATCTTCCACTTCATTGCATTTGTACTTGATGTTCTCATATGAGCTGTGGCAATTCGCACTGTTACGCAGTAATGCCTGATACTATGTTGATTTGGATGGATGGACACAGTTTTTAGTCAGCAAACTCCTCTCAAAGTTGGGAAACGTCTTTCAGATATGAAGCGCTGCCAAGAAGCAGTACCTGACGATTTACCATCAGAAATTTTAAACATGGAACTAAAGAATTATTGAGTGGAGCAACGATGGTTCTAGGTATCATATGAGAATCATGGACATGATTCACAATACGGTCACACATACCACCAACTGATACTTTCCATATTTCTCATCCTGAACATGGCATCCCACTGACATCGAGGTGTCGTATCATTGTCTCACTGTGAAGGTATTACTCAGCAAGTGCTTTACGCCAATCACAGTTCCAGACTCAAATTAACACAGTCGTGTAAGGCGGATGTGGAAATTTGTCATCAGAATTGGTGGAAAACAGTAGTGTATACCACGGATCCCCACTGTCACCCTTCCCACTTAACTTCTCTACAAAAGTAATAATGCATACAACCTTAGGCACGTCTGACTTCACAAGAATTGATCTACTCCCTAGAGTGCATCTCTATTTGACTTGGAGTATGTAGACGACACTGTCCTGTTGGATGAAGATGCTGACAAAACCCAGGGTCTTCTGAATGACCTAAACAGAAATCTCTCCATGTATGGCATGCGTGTCTCACCTGTCAGAGTTTAAATGATGCTTCACGACTGGTCTGCAACTTTCCCCAATTTAAGGATAATCAGTGAAGTGATACAATGTGTCGATTACTTCAATTCCCTTGAGGAGTTCCATCAGCACGAACAGGCTGGTTGTAGACGAAATCTCAACTGGGAGACACATAACTCATTTAGCATTTGCTAAACTGAGCCATCTCTGACACCGATCAGACACTCGACTAACTAACAGTTAGTTATACAGCTGTCGGAAGTAGAGGACATGGAGAGATTTCATGTGTTCGAGGATGGGTCTCCTCGCAGTGATATCCAACTGTGATGAGATCACTGTACGTGCAATGTGAAGGTTAGGCGAAGGGTATTCGACAAGACAAGCAAGTCCTATTTGGGACTCGTCAACGGAACGTACCTGTCTGCCAGTGTGTGATGTTGTTCTAACGGAGATTCGAACTGGAGACTGATCGCTTCAAACACCAGAGCGTTGTCCACTCGACCACCGAGATGTGCATCCTGGATTCCACTGCTAGACACTATCCATCATTACTATATAGAATTAAAACACAGGTAATATCGAGGCATCCGCACAGGAGCCCATATACCTATACAGACCGATCAATTCGGTCCAACCAACGACGGTATAATACAAGTAATAGTACTATTTTGTTACTTACCTTCCGACACCGTAAAATGCAATCCAATAACAGTTTGCAGGTTTTTGCACTGAACTATCAATCACAAATTTTTCGCGATGAGTAATGATATCACTAGTCTGTCCACTTCTTAATACTTGACGTGAAGTGCGAACCCATGATCCACTGATAAAGTTTAGAATGCGTAAGCTAGTATACCGCAATTTCACAAGAACGTTATTAGTATACGATTTCTTATTAAAGGTCAGTAGATTTTACCGTGTATGGTTTTAGACTTATATTTTTTGGATTTTCAGTTCTAATTCGCTTCCACTTACGTTGCTTTATTCAATTAAGGGTATATACACCCTTCCAAACGTTACACGTTGTACCCACGTATAGAAGTGTAAGTGGTTATAGAGTTTAGTTTTATGTAATCTATCTATCTTCTGAGCGAATTTCAAACATGAAATGTTTAGTTATACACCATACAGCCTTGAGATTCAAGAAATCTACATATATAATGATTAATTTTTTAAAAATCATTTATACTCACCATCTGCAGCAGAGTGGGACGACTATGGATACGATGGATATTACTGAGGCATTGTCTTCGCTTAACTTGAAGTTTTACTAAAGGATGTGATGCGAATGGGTTTTTTTCACAGTTAGTAATGAGTTCATCCTTTTGATCATTTGCATCTGCTACCGTATCCATAGTAGTTTTATTTTCCTGCCGTTTTCTTCTCCTACGACGTCGGTTAATCAAGTTGTCATTTGGCTAAAAGAAATATTTTAAGACAAAAAGTTATCTTGAGCAAGTTCATTATAAACTTAGTCAAAGTCAGATTTAATGGTTCAATCAATCAATATCAACATAGGACCAGGTATTACTGCGTAACGGTCCGAGTTGCCACACCTCATATCAGCACATCAAGTAAAAAGGTAGTGAGGTGAAGGATGAAGATAAGTGAATGCAGTCAAAAGAAATACAAAGTACGAGAAGAAAGGAAAGAGGAGTGACAAAATGGCGTCGTTAAGATGAGGATAATGTGTGTACGTGCATACATCTGCGCCACTGACTTCGGTTCTGAGCCATATCACCTAGAGTCTCCAACCACTGGTTCCTCTTGTCCCGCGAACACCAACCATCTAGTCTGCATCGTCCTACATGGCTTAAACCAACAGTCAGAGACTTCATGCATTGGTGCCATGTTTTAATCTGGCCACCTCGGGCCTTTTTCCAGCCTAGACCCACCTCAGCCAACATTGTGTGACGAGGCGATCGGTGACTAAGCATACGTTGATGATTGGGAAGTTCGGATCATAAACAACTCGAAATTGATATCAATAGCATGAGTTGAATTAGTTGAAACTGATACAACTAAAAAGATTGATGAGATGAAGAGAAACCCACTGTATTCCTCTCACTTTTAGGGTACTTAGATAACCCCCAATCCTTAAAAAACCCCCTCAATATCATTCAATATGCTCTAAATCTATCTGCAAAAAATTTATTCACAACTGATATGTTTTGTTCATGTACATTAATGCATAAACCTTGGGTGTTTTCTATCAACTTTTACTTATCTACTTCATTTTTATTCGTGTCCATCTTTGAGTTTACACGAGTTTGTTTATCTTCATCTCAATCCTGAGAGACTTAAAATTAGACATTAAAAATTCCTTCTATTTATTACTTAAACTCTGATCATTCAGTAATTGTTTATGATTACTGATACCATCATTTTCATAGCTCTATGTATTCCTCCTTCTAATATTACAGTTTGTATGATAATATGAACTGTTACAAACAACTTTCTCGAGGTACGACGACTGTTTGGCTATTAGAATACGTCAAAGTGATACACTACTGTATAATGTTTCATCTTAATCAACCAAAATATCCACAAGAATCAGACGTCCATCATATTAAAAGTATATATACATCTTAAAAAGTGATTTATTCTTTGCCAGTCATTATTAGTAGAACTTACCTTTTGCGTTGACTCTATCGTTATTTCATTCGAGTCACACAAAGATACATTATTACCAGGTGGATTATCATTGTCTGTAGTTTCACTATCATAATCCATAGGAACTAAGCGTATACTGGAATCTTGGTTGATAACATCTGTAGTGGACGGATCGCATACACTAGATGATTTCATAGCCTTAGATTTCTTATTAGGTGAACTAAGAACCTATAGAATAAAGGTAAAACAACAGATACTGAATACCTATAACGCTATTATGCATAGGAATTAACTAAAGACGATTAAAATTGGTCAGGAAAATGGGAAAGAAAAGTATGACCCCTGATCACTGAATTGTACTAGGAACAATGAATATAACAGGTAGGGTGAAAAGCGTATTCCGAATTTCTGTATAAGTCGCTATCCGTAAAAAGCACTACTGAAGTGATAATCCTCTTTTGAAGTGAAGTTAGTTAGTTTTTATAGAACCCCATAATGCAATTGAATCAGATAAGCAATTGGCTGGCTAGATGTAGCATATTAGATGGATGAAGTAATCTAGTTGATGAAAATTTTAACGACTGAGATAGCTGGCGAATTGTTACGCATATCAATTAACAATGGGCTACTGCAGAGTTTCCACAGTGTAGAATAAAGTTACAGATGACAAGACAAAGAAATATCTGGTTGTTTATTTGAGCTATTTAGTGGTGTTAGCTTCCTGATCAAGTGAAGCAATCGAAATAAATGATACGAATCTAAACTGTTCACCAGAGTGATGATCGACTATCGGCTATATTCTACACCGGCAACGGCGTGATTAAACACTGGGCTACTGAAAAACCTTTTCCATCGAACATATAATCAAATTCTCCCCTTACAATTCTTTTAATCTTATAAATATATCTTTTAACAGTATTGTGTACTCTGGCATATTTTCAAAATGTTTTCAAATTGTTGTTTTTCAAGACAAAAACAAAACAAAGGGTAAAGATTACACCGGTAAGAAACGAACTTATAAATACACGAAAATACAGCATATCACGATTCCTAGGATTCCTGTATTTAACAGCAGATTTCTGTACTGGTTGAATAAACTATCACCACCAAATAGTTACTGGATTTTTCATTCACTCATCAGTCCAAACCAGACGCTAATATGCAGCAATTATTTCATTTAAAAACATTGTACGGGGAATGAGTTTTTTAAAAATAGTATGTGCTGAGAATTTCATACCGTTTCATACATTTGTTTGGGATAAAGCGATTATTATTATTATTACACAGTAATATCATACACCTTTAGTGTGTAGATGCATCTGAACCAATGAGACCCATTGTGAGCTATATTGCCTAGAGTCTCTAACTACCCGTTTCAGATATCATGTATATCCCAACACGGCTCAGACAATCAGTTAGACTTTATAGACTGATGCTATAGTTTAGTCTGAACGTGTCTCATCCTTATCTAATCTAGATGTACGTCAGATAAGCCTGCGCAAAGGGGTAGATGGTAATTAGGCATATATAATACATGTCCCAGTCACTTCAGTTGATGAATGTTCACAACCTAATCAACTGACTTTCTTATTCCGCTTAAAACTGCATAACGTAATCAGAAATCAACCGAAATCCACTTAGGGACCTTGTGTACATTTATGAAGTAGGCAATGGGCTACACCTAAGATGTGATGGCTAGTGACGCTATCTTCCAAAACATCGTTAGGTGTAGCAGCGTTCCAAACCATGAGTTACGAGTTGAAAGTCAACTTTCTGAACCAATGACCCACAGCTCCACAAAGCTAGGTATTTGACTTTCGTGACGATGATACCACGATACACGGCCAGTAATACAAAGACAACAATGAGTGAACATCTGAAGATTTCTCGTATTCTAAACCTTAAATAATAATTTTTCAGAACAAAAGATCAGGGGAAAACGATCTGTAGAGCAAAATAAACGAAACTAAAGAAAGAACAGTGTATCAGTGTAGAGATTTCGTCGCACATTGACTTAAAGGGACTGATTCCAAGAACTCAGACAGACAAAATTCAAATAAAAGCTCACACAAGTGAATCGATTCAAGTTGCCACAGTTCACAACAGCATGCAAACAACAAGTCGATAGAAAAACACTTATGTCAATGTAGACAAAATTATATCGAAGAAGGGGGGATTCGAAGAAAATGGCACGTAGTGTTTATATTCCAGCTCCAGAAAACGTCAAAGAATAAATGCATCTGCACTATCATCACCGACTTTCAGCCATTTCACCAACAGTCTCCAACCACTGATTACCATCATTTCGAGGATCCTAACCAGGAAGTCTACACCTCCCCACACAAAAACCAACGGCAGCACACTTCAGGTAACCATACCACTTCTCTGTCTAATCACCCTGAGCTTCCTTTTAACCCAATCCAACGCCGGCTAACTTTGCATGTCGAGGTAGGCAGTGGCTCAGCATGCGCACAGCGCATGTCGACGCCACCTCAGTCCGTGACACTTCATAGCTTCATTGAGTGACTTGACTGTCTTACCGAATACCCTTCGCCTAACCTTCACATTGCACATACAGTGATCTCATCACAGTTGGATATCACTGCGAGGAGACCCATCCTCGAACACATGAAATCTCTCCATGTCCTCTACTTCCGACAGCTGTATAACTAACTGTTAGTTAGTCGAGTGTCTGATCGGTGTCAGAGATGGCGCAGTTTGGCAAATGCTAAATGAGTTATGTGTCTCCCAGTTGAGATTTCGTCTACAACCAGCCTGTTCGTGCTGATGGAACTCCTCAAGGGAAGTGACGTGATCGACACATTGTATCACTTCACTGATTATCCTTAAATTGGGGAAAGTTGCAGACCAGTCGTGAAGCATCATTTAAACTCTGACAGGTGAGACACGCATGCCATACATGGAGAGATTTCTGTTTAGGTCATTCAGAAGACCCTGGGTTTTGTCAGCATCTTCACCCAACAGGACAGTGTCGTCTACATACTCCAAGTCAAATAGAGATGCACTCTAGGGAGTAGATCAATTCTTGTGAAGTCAGACGTGCCTAAGGTTGTATGCATTATTACTTTTGTAGAGAAGTTAAGTGGGAAGGGTGACAGTGGGGATCCGTGGTATACACTACTGTTTTCCACCAATTCTGATGACAAATTTCCACATCCGCCTTACACGACTGTGTTAATTTGAGTCTGGAACTGTGATTGGCGTAAAGCACTTGCTGAGTAATACCTTCACAGTGAGACAATGATACGACACCTCGATGTCAGTGGGATGCCATGTTCAGGATGAGAAATATAGAAAGTATCAGTCGGGGATATGTGTGCCTGTATTGTGAATCATGTCCATGATTCTCATATGATACCTAGAAGCATCGTTGCTCCACTCAATAATTCTTTAGTTCCATGTTTAAAATTTCTGATGGTAAATCGTCAGGTACTGCTGCTTGGCACCGCTTCATGTTTGAAGCGAGTTACTCAACTTCGACGACATTTTGGAGGACGGACACTTAGGTTCGATTTGTGTGCTGGGTAACTGAAGCGTTACTGTGGGCCAGTTGGATTGTGATTTGAAGGGTTTTTTAAAAGTTCAATGACTTAACTTTTCACTGTTTAACGAGATAACAAGTCCTTGAGCAACGATTTACTTTTCGTACCAATTTTTTCATGATCATGAAAAAGACATCAGCGAATAAATTTTTTAATAACTTGATTATTAGACTGTACTGTCGTATTTATAATAGGTAAAATGTCAGATGGATGCACTAGAAAGTTGCTCGGTCAATAAACAAAATATACAACTGGCGTTCGTGGTGGAATTTACCTCTGGTAAGAGGAAGGCGAAGAAAAAACAACTTCATTCATATGTGAACATCTAGTGGAATTAAGTCATTCAGCTACTTGAGATTAATTCCTTTAGGTAATTTATAAAGTTTAACTGAATTATTCCAAAGATCTACGTTTCAACTACTTATGCATAAACGAAGTATCAGCTGTAGATGAAAAAAAAACCGAAACTTTGCGTTCAAAAACGTGTCCTGAAACTACTTTCTCTACCTTGGTCTTAACAATTCATCATTTGCTTAGTTTGTCAATTTCATTTAACTTCATTGTGTATACTTCATTATCACTATTTTACACATCTTTGATAACACTTGACCCCAATTTCACCACTTGTTATTATTTCATCCCTTATTCAGTGACCCATTTTCTTCCATTCTTCCACATGAACAAATCCTACCACCAACATCAATTATATATTTTGTATATTGACTGAGCAACTTTCTAGTCCATTTATCTGACATTTTACCGATTATAAATACGACTGTACAGCTTGATAATGAAATTGTTGAAAAGAAATATTTCTTCGCTGACATACGTCATGTTCTTGCTGATGAGAAACGTATCCCATACAAAAATAGTTAGATAGTGCCGGTACAAACCCATCTACCATTTCAAGTAACTAACGGTATTCTCAATCTCTGAGAGCGGCTTATCGCTATGTTCCATTCTGGACAACAGAATAATAGTTAATGGTCGTTTGAACTGTTCCTCCAAGTGGTGTAACCATCGTTTCAGGCGTCTCCTCAGCGAGTGAATTTCAGACTTATCCTTCCAAGCCATTGACCTTCTTGTCCAAGTTTCCCTGGTAAGCCTAAATAACTGCCTACTTTCATCTATCATCGCTGCCTTTTCCATCTATTTTGCTTTCGCTAACCACCACTGTCCCCTTGCATGTCTACATTTGAGTTACATCTGCTGCTTATTGTATTCGACGCCTGCAGGAAAACATTCACGTGCATCTATTAGTTCTGAAGAAGCTACTGAGATCCACCGGCTCATTCTAGTCAATCTGTGAGGATCAGTTTTAGTCTTCAACGCTGTTTTTTACAGCAGACTGGAGATGACACCAGGCCTCCGAAGGCTAGGTAACGCCATCCAGTTCCGATGAATGTATTCTCATCGTTGAGCTGCACCCGTGATGGTCCTCGGTCTGTATTTTTTTCACCCTGATGTCCATACCATGTAAAATTATTTTTACTCGAGGCACCTCAATAAGAAATTGAATTAGTAATAGTAAAGAGCCCGAAGGACATCTGCTTGATCTCGATCACTCGTGGGTTTTTTGGAAGTTTGAGATTTACGTCTGACTGTGTTGAATCCGCTTCATGAAATCCTATACCACTGACACTGGTGTATAGTAAGGAAGGGAGGAATGTGTTACTTTTAAGACCGATATTTTATAGGGAAGGTAGCCACACCATGCACTACTGGTAATCTGAGGTGGTATGACTTCGCCCTGTGACCCCCACCATAGCCCCGTGGCAGTAAGTGGTTTCTGTGCCACTACTATTTAGCTGATTCTTCTGGCAAGGTACTATGTAAGATTCCAAGGAGCGAATGTTGCTACCAGCATAACTCGTTAGGTAATTGTGATATGGACGATCGATCAGGATGTCCCGGTAGAAGCTATAGACTGGGAACACAAGTAAGTAAAGTGATGTAGGAGTGATTTATGTGCACGTGCTGGCGACTAGATCAGTTATTCAACATCAACATGGGATAGTGATATTGGTACTACCGCGTAATGATTCAAGTTGTCACATCTCATGCCAGCACACCAAACGGGAGTGCATCAAGCTCAGTGGTAAACAAATAGAAAGAAAGTGGTAAAAAGGCGAATGAGACAATCATAAAAGTCGATTCTGTGATTAAAATGAAGGTAAATCTGCGTCAATGAAACAGACTTGGACCCTTATCAGCTAAAGTATTGAACTCCAAATTTCAGTTGTCACACGGACTCGGTCAGGAAGTCTACATTTCCCTAAAAATGCCTCAGACCAAAAGTCAGAGACTTTACGAACTGATGCCATGTTCTATTTAGTCTGATTGCTGCTTACCTTCCTTCAGCCTGAATCTACCTCAGGTAAGAATGTGCGATGCAGCGGATGCTAAATGGTAATCGATGCAGCAGTTAGGTAATTAGAGCTGATCGAAGTCTTCCAATGACCGGACAATACTTTCTTGATAGATTAAAAAAAACATAAAAATGAAGCTTAATATGTAGTTACACACTACCTTTCCTGAAGATGATGATGATGCATTGATGTTGTTTGAAGAAGGTCGCAGAACATTTGAATTCGGTTTATTCATGGACCTTGTAAAAATTAAAATGCAAAGAAAAGAAATGTACTCACTTTAACGAGAATATAAACAAGTAATAATACACCAGATAAACCAAACCAATGTTAGATGGATCTTTTCTAGATGGTCGTTAGCTTAGATGAGAAATTATCACTAAACTGTGTGATATCCTATCACAGATCTTAAATTAGAGGATACAATTTATCAGAACTCATTTCAGAGAGGTGCCTCTACAAATCATTTTAAAGGAAACAGTTGAATGGTACTCATAAATCAAGTCAAGTAGATAAAGCAAGACTAGTACGAACGCTTATGCTGTAGAATGTCTTGAAAAATATAGATTTGAACGGTGTATACTCAAATATGAATAAGGTCAGGTTAAATTCCTTAGGTTTTGTATCATTCAACTGAGATGAATGAGTCTAGAAGATACGTATCTAGGCTTTTGTATTTATCAGCATTTTGTAAGTTATTTGTTTCTAAATTATCATAGTTCAACTGTTTATCTATGGTAATAACAGCTTCACATAATCACACACACACACACACACACAAAGAATCGCTTACAGTATACAATCATGTTAAGTACCAATATTTCCGATCTAAGGGATCCGATCGTCTTGTTGAGTATCACGCTGAGTTTTGCGTGGGTCTAGCAGTCATCAGATATCTGCAGAATCTTCAGTGTAAAAAACTTATTAAGAAGTAAAACAATCAACCAAATTACCATAATTAACACTCAATTAATATTGAGACATCCGCATAGAAACCTATATGCCAACAGAGTTCAAACAATTCGATCCAATAAAACAATAAAGAATTACAAATACATCAATAAATTGTTTATGGTAACCTAAATACATAACCGACTAACTTTTACCTAAATTTTACACCTATTAGAAAAATTCAAACTATCAACAGTTAAACTAAAATATATCCATTTCAATATTTATCTAAATGAAATAAAAGTGAAATATAAAACAGGAAATGAAAACCACAGAAAGTGTACATCTACTTTTTCATTAAAAATCATCACCATTAATCAATATAGAAAAGTGAGAAACAAATTACCCAAATTGACGTGTCATAAATATTTGACCTCTTTTTATGCGCTCTTCATCAAGTTTCTTTTTTGCTTCAACTCGTTCCAAAGTTGGATAATTTCTAAAAATTCAAAGTGAAATACAAAGATTAATCTCTTAAACATTTATTTATGCTATTTCTTGAATTAGTTACCATGTTAAACTATGAACTACGAACTGTGTATAAAGATTTTTAGATATTAATTAAGTGCCTACATTAAATTGCTTGGTGTAGGTTCAAACCTAGAAGTGATTATTCGAGTGTCCAGGACACTGTGCTGAAGCTTTATATCTGCTGACAGTTTCATTTCCAAGCTTGTCACCCTAGTCTTGAATTTTCTTATTATTTAGAGTATGACAACTTGAATCGATGCACAAATGAAAATTTCATGTCATAGATTCACAACTATTTCGATCAATAACATTGGTATCAACCAATTTACATTTGCACAATAATTTACAAAAACAGCTTATAACCCTTAAAAGAGAATTAAGGAGTAGTATAGTTACTGAAAAAATTGGTTTCTAAAGTGACAAAACTGAAGGTATTTGAACCATGTATATACAACCATTACTGTTGATTGTTTATATATAACACAGGTTGGTAACCTCAAGCGAAAGGAGGAAAATTAGCAGTTTAATTCTGTTTATTGAACTTTGATTGGCTGGTCTACAAAATTGATCGATGAATAAGTTTGTCTTTCATTAGATTTTAAGAGCTGCACACCGATATAGCATAATAAAAGTCAGTAGCTTCGAGTAGCCTCGAAGAAGCGAGAACAGGATGGTCATAAAGAAAACCTGTGGACAATTTTTTGATCGTCTGCGAAGAAATATGATCTACCGTTTTTGACATATACACTCCTTATACTTTATTACTGTACAAAAGGAATAGTAAGAGACTCAGCATATTACCTTGGGTAACTACACTTTTAGTAGACGTTAGGAAAGAATATCAGTTGTTGAACTTAATAACTTGTGAATACCCTTTTAGGAAGGACGTGAACCAGCCCAAGAATAGGTTATGAATGCCATATCAATTCAACTTTACTAGCAGTCGTTTGTGTGCTAATTTATCGAAAGCCTTTTTAAAATCAGAATATGAGACAATAACGACGACAATGATGATGAATTCACTGTTCAACGACTACTCCTTGCCATTATCCTTAATAAACCCAAACTGTCAAGTATTACCGAATGCCAGTGTCATAATTTGGGGGAATAAACAGAGTAGGATTAAAGAGACATAAGGCCAAATGGATCAAATTATGACGTTAAATACACGAAGTATCAATGCCTGATAAAGAAAAGGTAGATATTGTTGGCTGAAGTCTGCAACTCAAATGAGTGGATACACAGTATAGGTAGTTTTATTGAAAATCCATCGAATTTGTAGAGATACACCTACAGTTAATCCTCAATATTTTGAACATATGAAATTTAGTATCATTTGCTTTCATCCTGATTTGTTTCTTCTTTATCTCGGGTTTGAAATCACGTTTAAATTCACTAGACTCTTTTCCTTGTTCTCCTCTTGTTTTGCTGACGTAGCATATGGCAAATTAACACCTAAATACTAATGTGTTAGGTTTATAATTGATATTTACCTATCTTAACATATTACTAGAGTTGCATTATATGGAAAGCTTAGGGATTTGTGAAACAAAAGCTCTGGGATTTTTATAAACCAAGTGTATTTGAAAAATTCATGACGTAGTTATTTTTCAATAGGCACACTTATGTAAGATGCTTACCGTTTACGACTTTCTCGCCAGACTTTCACAGATTTATCACACGTCTCGCGATAGATAGTATCAAACAAACCACTAACATGAACCTAAGGATGTTAGTGAACAGACTGAAAACTCTACTCACCACTTCTTGATGAACACGCATTGCTTTCTGGTGTGATGTAAACGGACAACCTTCAACAGGACACTGAGTAAATTAACATTAGGTAACCGTATATGGATAATAAGTTACTCACTTTAATATGATCATCTAAATGCCTTTTATATTCTTCATTTGTGTAGAATGCAATATCACAGCATATTTCCACAGGTGTATAATAATCACGATCTTCTACTTCAAATCCCATACCATAGAGGCCTCCATGTCCCCTTCTTCGTCTACGTCTACCAACATCTTTGAACAGTTTACTTTGGTCCAACTCTTCAAGGGCTGTCTCAAGTTCACTGAGTTTCTCAGATGTACTCCATAATAGATCGAACGGTGGAAGATCCATTGTTGATAATGTGACAGGAAAATTTAATCTGAACAGATAGTTTTATATAAATGAACCAGTTAAAGTATAGTTCAAAAATTGTTTAGAAAAGTTTTATTTCAATAATCGGATTCCTTGTAATTGATCCGTAATTACAAACAAAATACAAGTGAGTAGTGTTTCGCTATACTACTCAGTAAAATTAAACCACCACTCTAAGCATCAAAATGAATTCCAAGTAGTAATCCCAACTCAGCTAACTTCGACTTAAATAGATACATAGTATCACAAGCCATAAAACACAATATTATTTGTAGCTTAATGCATAAACCTCTAACGGGTAGATAAGTTGCACTAAAACCAAACACTTACAACCAGTTTTTTTGACTGCTCCTCTTTATTAATACCTCCCTAAAGAAAGTAAGCGACAAGACAATAATAACGCTAACTAGAAAATATTATTTTATAAACACGGCCCACAACGAAAACTGTCTGTTTACACAGAGATCTAATGTTTTGTAAATTTAGCCTGATAAGAGATCGCATATTAGGCAGAAAATCACACGAAGTCTGTACTTTCATATATAAAAGTTTCTGAGATTCATGAAATTCGTTACTTTTTTCTAAATGTGTATTTCCTAGTAATAAACAAATGGGACGGCCAAAACTATAAGAAACAATCCAAGAAACAGAGGTGGATGAAATAGTAGCGAATATTTGTAGTTCAGGTGGATGGTCACGGTTGTATTATGTTCACTCAGCTGGGTTATTTAAACGTGAAGCTTTCATCGGCTTTCTAGACGACATCATCAGCACTAACTTCAGTATGAAGTGAGCTGTCAATATCTCTCCGTGAGTGATTTGGTAACTTGCCCTGATGAAGTGATTTGTGATTCGTTGTTTCCTTTGGTTATTGTGTCGTTGACTGTATAGATTTTCCTCTTGGTTGTTTCCCTGCTTGATCTCTCACCTTTCTATCGTTTACCATTTTTCTCATTGGTTGATAGATTGGGTCTATGTCTATACATCTGTTGATTGCTGACTGACCTGAATGCCAAGCTTCTAGGAATTCTCTGATATTCTTTGTGTTTCCTGTCTCTGTCCAGAATTTCTACATTATCGAAATTGAATTCATGTCCATAGTTGTCCACGTGCATTGAAATGAGTGATGAAATGTCGTGTCGTAGCCAATTGGTGTTCATGTAGACGAAGGCGAAGAGGGCGGCCGCTCTGTCCAATGTAGTGTTGACTACAGTTATTGTAGTTGATTTCGTAAATGATATTCGGGTTTTCTTCTTTGATCGTTGTATACTTTGGTCTGCATAATAGTGTTTCGACAGAATTTGTTGGTTTATGAGCCACACTGATTCCAAGTGTTCTGAGTAATCTTGTCATGATTTCTGATATGGTGGGATGATGCGTTTATTGATTTTTGTCGATGACTTTGTAATTGATGATGTATGGTATAGGCATCCTCTGATAAAGTTTCGTGGGTAGCCGTTCTTCTTTAGGATGGACATCAGGTAATTTTCTTCGTTCCTCCGTGTTGTTGCACTGCAGTGTATTCTCACAGTACAACAACAACTGGCTATAAAACGTCACAACATTTCATCACTCATTTCAATGCACGTGGACAACTATGGACATGAATTCAATTTCGATAATGTAGAAATTCTGGACAGAGACAGGAAACACAAAGAATATCAGAGAATTCCTAGAAGCTTGGCATTCAGGTCAGTCAGCAATCAACAGATGTATAGACATAGACCCAATCTATCAACCAATGAGAAAAATGGTAAACGATAGAAAGGTGAGAGATCAAGCAGGGAAACAACCAAGAGGAAAATCTATACAGTCAACGACACAATAACCAAAGGAAACAACGAATCACAAATCACTTCATCAGGGCAAGTTACCAAATCACTCACGGAGAGATATTGACAGCTCACTTCATACTGAAGTTAGTGCTGATGATGTCGTCTAGAAAGCCGATGAAAGCTTCACGTTTAAATAACCCAGCTCAGAGAACACAATACAACCAAGAGGTGAATGAACTGTAGAATACCATTGACTTACATCATTATTAAAAACTTTAACCCAAAACTCGACACTGTTCATTCTGTAGTGTCACCATATGTTATAATTAATACTAAGACACCGACGTTCAAAAGTCCCTAGCTTTCTGATACCACCCAGTTCCAACACTGTATCACATCTATATTTTAAAACGAAGAGGTGATATGCATTATACTCATTCCTTTTGGGGCAGCCATTTATTCCACCAGTGTCACAAGCGGCATGAGTTAGGAAGAGCCAGTTCAGACTTCTACATTTGTGTCAAGACTTCTTTAATTGCCGAAACGTTTAGAGCTACACTGGCTAGAAAGCCTATTTCCTTGAGGTCCAACTATTCCAGATAAGTGTGCTCAACAACAGCAAGACGAAAAGCAGTTGCCGTTGTGGTGTAATTTACCACACTATGATCAGGGTCTGAGGGCGAAGTCGTACTTCTGCTAGCTCGATGGGGTGTGACAGCAGTAAGGTGTTTCCCTTGGATGACCAGCAGCGCCATGAAACGAGGAAGGGCAGCAGGACCAGATGGACTACCTGCTGAGGTATACAAGAATGGTGGTAGAGTGCTCTTAGTCAGGTTAACGGAAGTGTTAGCCAGTATACGGGAATCAAATACGATGCCCTCCGACTGGTCTAAGTCCCTCATCATCCCAGTCTTCAAGAAAGGCGAGAAGTCCTCTTGTGATAACCACAGAGGAATCAGCCTGACGAACATAGTGTCTAAGATCCTAGGTTCTATAATTCTCCGACGCCTGAGTGGAGCTCGGGAACACCAAGCCTGAGAAAACCAGACAGGCTTTAGACCTGGCCGTGGGTGTATCGACCAAATATTCACACTGCGCCAGGTCCTGGAACATAGGCATGCTTACCGACGCCCGATAATAGCTGTATTTCTCGACCTGAAGGCGGCATTTGACTCCGTTGATCTAGATGTCTTATGGCAATGTCTCACTGAATGTCTCTCGAACACTTGTGGGCGTGTTAGAGCCTATGGTGAGATGTCCGGGTAGATGTGCTCGTCAAGTGGTGTCCGTCAGGGTTGCCCACTCTCTCCATTCTTATTCACTTTTATCATAATTATTCTCATGGAGGTCCCTCTCTCTCTCTCTCTCTCTGTCTCTTGTCACCTGACTACACAGAAGTTGAACTAATCGCAGGAGAATTTTCACTAGACCTAGAATACACAGATGACATAGTCCTGTTACGTTAAGCTGCTGACAAGATGCAGAGTCTTCTCAAAACTTCGAGTGGCAATTTGAGAATGTCTGGGATGCGTTTCTCACCACCTAAATCCAAATTGTTTCTCAAGGATTGGTCTTCAACGGTGACCCACCACGGTTAACCACAGAGAGTGTGGTGGTCGAGTGTGTTGATCACTTCACTTACCTGGGATAAAGGAGCAGCCCTGGTGGCTGGCTCAGTGGCCGGCAAAATCTCTTCATGAATACATAAGACTTGCTTGGCTTTTGCCTACTTACGCCACCTGTAGCGTCGCCGTGATATACGATTGTCTATTTCGGGTCGCGTGTACTGCACAGCAGTTCTCTCTGTTCTACTGTATCGCTGCGAAACATGGCCATTGAAGGTGGAAGACATGAGGAGGCTTCCTCATGTCTTTGACCACCCTTGCCTTCGTAGTATACGCCGTATTACGTGATGTCACCACGTGAGTAACGTAGAAGTCACGCTCACGTGTAGAGTTCCAGGGAGAAGAGGTAAGTCAGTTGGCGAGGTTGTGAGCCTTCATCGACTGAGATGGTTGGGACACGTACTACGTATGCCTAGTCACCGATTGCCTTGTCACACAATGTTGGCCGAAGTAGGTTCAGGCTGGAAAACGTCTCGAGACGGCCAGACTGAAACATGGCATCAGTGTATGAAGTCCGTGACTTAAGCCATGTGGCTTAAGCCATGTGGGGCGATGCAGACTAGCCGGATGGGATCCACAGGACAAGAGAAACCAGTGGCTGGTAGAAGACTGACTCTGGGTGATATGGCTCAGAACCGGTCAGTGGCGCAGATGTATACACGTACACACATTGTCCTCATCTTAACGCTATACCGAATATCACCATTTTCTCATCCTTCCTTAGTCTCTTTTAGTACTCTATATTTCTCTTGACTGAATTTTCTTTCCTTCACCTTCCACTTCACTGCATTTGTACTTGATGTACTGATATGAGCTGTGGCAATTCGCACTGTTACCCAGTAATGCCTGATCCTATGTTGATTTTGATGATGATGACCATAGGCTTTATGGTCACAAACATTTTTCTCTTTCAGATACTTTAAGAACAAATAGCCTCTCCCAGTGTGAGCAGCAGGTCAATGTCAACCGCCCTCACGCTTCCAGAAGTACAAAAGACCCAATCAAACATAACCTGTCCCCCTCAACTATGTCTCCTCCATTGCCTTCACACCCTGATACAAGTAATAAGCCCTTTACACCTTCCCCAAACGTATTCTGCCACCACTGCTAACGATCAAAGCCTCATCCCTTGTCTCCTACAACCCTGTAATAGATTTCACGTAGGTCTTGACGTTCGAACTCTATGGCAAACCAGACAGCAGGCATCGTTTGGCAGAACTCTCAAATCTTTAGCCATAGATGTACTATGTCTCTGAGACACGTATACAGGATCCAAGTGAGGTTACTAACCTGACCTCATCTGAGCAGTGGTATGAATCTTCAAAAGTCACCTTAAAAGTATCTGAAGATCAAATGGCCAGCTCTTGTAGACTCGCAGATGTAGGTGAGTTGCAGAGCAACGAGTGCGCTTCTCTAACCCTAACTCTGGATACGAGTCAACAGCCATCTCTGTGCTGTTCGACCGAATGGATCTGTAAAGACTAAGAAGGGCCGTGAAACCGACCGATACCTATTCATAATCTCCGCACCCGCCGATTGCAGTTCGGATCATGCAAAGGATGAATTCTGTGAAAAGCTGTCAATTTCGCTACAGAAAACAAAACGTG